TGGTGGTGGGGCTGGCGGCGCTTGCAACGGTATTTGTTCAATTAACAACTTGTCATATAGAAATAAAAATAAAGTTCGAGGAGCAGTTGTAAAACCGGGTGGGAGATCATCATTTGAAGTTATGTCGGACATGCTTCTTAATAAACCGACTCCTGAACGGAGTGTCGCAGGAAGTAAAGACCCGGAAATGAAAGGTTGGCTTATGAAATGGACCAACTACATTAAAGGTTATCAACGACGTTGGTTTGTCCTATCAAGAGGTGTTTTGAGTTATTATCGCAGCCAAGCTGAAATGAATCACACATGTCGCGGTACTATATCGCTTCACGGTGCTCTTATACACACAGTGGATTCGTGCACTTTTGTTATCTCCAATGGTGGTACACAAACGTTTCATATTAAAGCTGCCAATGAGGTAGAACGACAATCTTGGGTTACAGCTTTGGAATTAGCCAAAGCAAAAGCAATACGTACTATGGAAACCGAGGAAGAGGAGGAAGTTGAAACGTCACATGTGGTACCTAGCCAAGAAATCAACACAGTGATGGCGGAGCTAACAGGTCGTCTGGAGAGTTTGCGCACCTGTTACGATTTAATCACTAAACATGGTATTGCTTTACAGAGAGCACTAAGTGAGTTAGAGTCGAATGACGAAGAGTCACTTGCCAGTCGCACAAAGATTGTTAATGAGCGGGCTACGCTATTTCGTATTACTTGCAATGCAATGATTAATGCATGTAACGATTACCTACGCAGTGCTGAGTCGCAAGGCCATAAGTGGTCGAAAATGGTTGAGCACGAAAGAGAACAACGACAACGGCTGGAAGAAATGGTTGAAATGTTAGCCAAACAGCAAACCCGCCTCGAACAGGCAGCACACACAGCCGCGCAACACAATAAACCGCTATCAATAGCAAACGAAAGTGCAGCTTCACCAAATGCAGTTACATCTGACGACGAAAACGAATTTTTTGACGCAGAAGAAAACAACGGAGTATTCGGCGAAAATTCGCCGAATGTAGCTAGTGGATTTGTAATGACATTGCCTTCAAAAAGTGGTACTCATAAAGGGGAAGATATTGAAGATGGATCATTTGTTATGAAACTACAAAAAACACGCTCTAACTCAGAGGAACAAACACACCATAGCAGTTCTTCAGAAAATGAAGAACTTAAACTAACCGAATCCGAGCCTCAGCAAGTTGTTGTTATAAGCAAAAAAAATAGCATTATATCTCAAAAAAGTATATCCAAACACAATAATGGAAACCAGCTAAATCAAAAGGTCGCACAGCTACCTAAGACAAATCGGCAACGACGTACTCGCGTACCAGATAAACCAAATCACCCACTTAATCTATGGTCGGTAATGAAAAATTGCATCGGTAAAGAACTTTCGAAAATTCCAATGCCAGTTAATTTTAATGAGCCTTTGTCAATGCTTCAACGACTTACGGAAGATTATGAATATGCGGAATTGTTGGACTCAGCTGCACGTTGTACAGACGAATGTGAACAGTTGGCATATGTGGCGGCCTTTACAATTACTAGCTATGCAACAACGACAAATCGGACTGGAAAACCCTTCAACCCACTTTTAGGTGAGACGTTTGAATGTGATCGCATGGATGACCTTGGATGGCGTGTCCTCGCTGAACAGGTGTCACATCATCCACCAATGGCTGCTTTACATTGCGAGGGTCGCGAATGGACCTGCTGGCAGGAATTCACAATGACAAGTAAATTTCGAGGAAAATATCTGCAGGTAAGTCAGCCCTAAAATTTTGTAATTGAAGAAAATTTTTCAATATTTTCATATTTCACTTTATTACGATTCTGCAATAACTTCGCCAATTGCTTTTTTTCTGATTCAATAAGCACATATGTACATTCATTCACCTACTGTTTGCGAAATTGGTTTAATTAAATAACGATGTCATTTACGACACGCAATTTAAATAATATATGTACATATGTATGCACATATATTTATATTGCATGTTTAATATACATATTCGTTTACGTACATATGTGTGTAATAATATATAATACTCCCAATAATACTCTGTAGATAAATAGGGATTTTATAATTACCAAATGAATGACTTTTATAATTTATATACATACGTAGAAAGTTTCAATGCTTTGAAAATGTAACATGTTTATTAAAATATAGGATTGTTCAAGTTCAACATAATTCCATACACATATCGTTTTATCACAGTAAACTCAATTTGTTCATATATAATACATATATAAATAAATGCTTATGCATAAATTTGTTACCGTTGTGTTTAAGTTCAATTGGTTCTTAATAAAAATACAGAAAATTGAAATGATCTTTCAATCGCTTTCAGGTCATACCGCTTGGGAGCGCATACGTTAATTTCCCCGCAACTGGTCATAAATACACGTGGCGTAAAGTAACGACGACTATTAATAATATTATCGTTGGAAAATTATGGGTCGATCAACATGGCGACATGGAAATCAGAGGACTCAATGCAGCATCTGGTCTCACATGTCATCTTAAGTACATTGCTTATTCATACTTTTCCCGCGAGCAACAGCGTCGCGTAAAAGGCGTGATCATGGATCGGAATAAAGAAGTCAAATGGGTGTTGCGTGGCACTTGGGATGCTTCTATTGAAATTGCGCCTGTACTTTCAACTTCCGGTTCGACAGATAGTCCAGTTTACCAAACCGGTGGTTACAAAACAGTGTGGACACGAAGAATGCAGGCACCAGATAGTGACAAGTTCTACAACTTTACAACGTTGGCAGCCCAATTGAATGAACCCGAAGAGGGAGTTGCACCTACCGACTCACGTCTTCGTCCCGATCAACGCTTGATGGAAGATGGGAAATGGGATGAGAGTAATCGTGAAAAGCTACGACTGGAGGAGAAACAACGTAGAAAACGGCGAGAACGCGAAGCGGAAGCAGAAGCTGCAGCAAACGAGGGTCGTCCATATCAGCCATATGAACCGTTATGGTTTAGACGAGAAAAGGAAGAGGGTAGTGATAATTTGGTGCATGTTTTTAATGAATCCTATTGGAAGCACAAGCAAGACCAAGATTGGTCTCAATGTCCTGACATATTCTAAATGTAATAAAACGTTTTTACCAAGAGCCTAACAGCGGAACCCACTAACATAATACATGAAAATTTAAAAGTTTAAATGCGAAAGTTATATAATATTAAACTAAAAGTGAAGTAAAACTTAACAAACTATACCTACATACACATACTTAGAAAATTATAGAAAGACGAAAATGCACTCAAACGAATAATTTTAGATAAAAAAAAAAAACAAAAACACAATGTGGCAAAATGAAATACACTAAAAATCCATTAGAAAAAGTGAAAGTAATGTTTTACAAAAAAAAAAAAAAATCTTTTAAAAAGTTAAGAAAATGTATTGAATATTAAAATAAAACGAAAAACAGAAAAAGTTTCTTCACAATGAACATCAGCATTTTTGTATGAGTTGATATGAACAAAGTGTTTAAAAATATTGGTTGAAAGAACATAAACTGCGAAGCGAATCTGAACTATTCCCGCTTGTACATACATACATATACAGCAATCAAAGGCAAATAATTAAAGAATATCATACAATAAACAATATTGCTATTTGTTAGTTTAAGTAAATATCTTCGAATTGCTGCTGGTATTTTGCAGTTTATTGCCGCGAACAAAACGCCCTATATCGGCCACGCACCATTTGCCGTCATTAATACGAGCCAAAAACCAACATACCTACATACTTATATAGTATGTAAATAGATATGAATGTACAGCAGAAAACAAAACGTATGCTTGGAATATGCATTATATTAAACATCAACGTTACATACTCTTCTCTACTTAACTTCCTACTCGTATTATATTGCTTAGTTTGTAATGTAAATGTTTTCTTTCCTTTTTAATGTAAATAAATGCAAATTGCAAGCTAAGAAATACACATACATATGTTACATGTTAAAATCGAAAACAATTATTATTAATATTAAAAATTATTATGTAGTATTATTGAATTAAAAAAAGAGAAATGGTTAAATAAACACAGACACACACAGACACAGGTTTTTCTTCAAGTGCATTTGCAAAGCGGGCGACAACTGCTTTTATTACACTATTTATTACTTATGCTACCTAGTACAGCGATTTAAGTGACCACAGAATGCTGATTAGTAGAATATATTTTTTTTTAAAGAAAAATGTTTAAAAACCAAATATTGCACACAAGCCGAACGATGTGAGTCATTGTCAGGTGCTTATATACATATGTATGTATGTAAGTATGCATATCATTGTTAATTTTTACGGCCTGCTTATTCAGTTACATAAGTGTTTGACCAGCAATTCTGTTATTAGAGTTGTAAACCGATAAGGGTTCAAAGCCAATTCATATTAAACCTGTACTTATCAATAGAGGTATACCCAGCAGACAAATCGATTAATTCGTGCATAATATGGTCTCTAGTGGTTATAGCAACAATTAGCGGCAACATAGGATGCCACACATAAATTCTAAAACGATTATGCAACCAATTTTAAGGGTGAGTCCATATAAGTCATTTAAATTATTTCAAATATAGCAATTTTTTCATATTAACTCATTGTCACGACTGCAGAATATTCGCAAATTATTTCTGAGCTGGAGGTCGTGACAAAGTTTGTATTGAATTTCTAATTTGTTTTCAGTAAAATGTATTAAAAAATGTAATCCCCCTCCCGCGTTGCTATCGGTACTGTCCCATTTCATATGATGGGCGTTCGCATCACAACCAATTATTAGGCAGCCTGTGCCTCCGACAGTACATCACTTGTCTATCCACAGCCTCTGGGAGTGCTGATGCCAGGAGGAAGTCTGTGCCTTCAAAGTTCTGACTAAGTTTAGAGCATTTTTTCGTAATCCGAAATACCTAAACCCGAAATTTCGAATATATTTTTTTCTATCAGGTTTGGATTTCAAATATCAACAACATTAAAGTGTTTCCTCGAGTTTTGTTTCGTTTTTATTCGTATGTTTTTTCATCACAGTGAACACAAACATAATTTTACCATCATTTCTTTTAAACATTATTACTTTATATGAAAGAGGAAAGTGGAACAAATGTTTTCTAAAGCTATTCAGCTGTTTTGGTGCAGAACATTTTTCACCTCTTACTTTTTTCTATTCAACATATTATCTTGCTATGAATTGGCATTTTATGTTCATATGTGTGATTATTAATAAAAATTAACAACAATCCTATTGCGCAGACAATTGAAAAATAAGATATATAATACATAAAGACGTAAAGCAGAAGTGATTGTGTCACACTACTTGTGCTGTACATAGTGTCACCTACAAATCGCCAGTAGTTTGTGTTTTATTCAGTATGTTTAAGGACTTGAGGAGCGCTTCCACTGAAGGATCACGACCGCGAAAACGGCGAAATACTTCTGCTGTAGGCACGGAACCACCTAGAGCTAGGAAAGTCTCCTTAAAACGTTGGCCCGTAGTCGTCATTTCAGCTGGTGATTTGTCTGCAAATTCGGAACTAATGTCAGCAGCTATCACTTTCGAATAGAGGTGACTGAATTGTGCAGCGCCCCAGTCGCCAGAGAATATTTCCGTCAAAGAACAAGGGTGCGCGTCTTTTTTGTCTAGAGGCATGCACTGATAGACAGGCCACAGCTTTTTAACTACATCCAACCAAAATGCATCAGATTGATGTAATTCAATATCCAAATCTGCCATGTAAAGCTCTTGACACAAATTGTATCCAGCTAGGCTAGTTTTTAACAAATGTGTTTTTTGTAAAATGTCATCCGATAAAGCCTCATTACTTGTGTAGTGTTTGGAAATTTCCTTTAATATGGTTGGGTTATCGAGAAAATTGCACATCACATTTCCCGCCACTTGCGAAGCATCCCATTCGATGTTTGAAAGTCCGGCAAGGTCTGTGTATGGCGCTTTCGTAAGAAGGTGTTGTAAAGCTGAACCGAAGGTTTTGAAAACCATATTTAAATCGTCAAAATTCAGTAAATATGGTGTGCCTTGTAAAGGTTCCGTAAAGTTAAAGATTAATGCACATAAAGGCGTCAGCTCAGCTGAGGGGTTTCGATTTCGTATGCTCACCATCCAGCCATTATTTTTACCGAACTTATTCTCTTTAGAGTAGCAGTCTATGTAAAAGCCAGCGATCGGCGATACACCACCACCGGCGCTATTATCGTATACATCGTAGTACTTTACAGCCGGCTGCCAAACCTCAACATTTTGGCGTTCCACAATACGAATATTGAATAAATTCTCACTTAATTTAAAAAGTTCGCTGAATACATTTGGTAATGGGAAATATTCTCGTAACTGTTCCTCATTCAGCTTATGGTTAGCTATTAGATGTTTGCGTTGCCAGTAGGGGACATCATATACATCCAATTTGGTCTGAAATCCGCTTTCAATTGCAAAGTTTTGCAACTGCTCAATTTCTGTTGACTGAGCAGGTCCAGCAAACTTTACAAGATTTGCGAATACCTGTTTTAAATTGTCTACACTTTTAATCATCTTTGTCTGCATCGACATCGCTGCGTAATTTGGATAACCTAAAATTAATATATTTTATAATTAATAATATAAATCATATCTATTCATATAATTAGTTGTAAGCAATAATTTGTAAGATATCATTAGATTTTTGTTCTAATACTAACCTAATAAGTTTGCCTGTCGTTTCCTAAGAGCTCGTATACCCTGCAAATGCGTACTATTCTCAAGACTCCGCTCTTGTTGACCAGACGCTTTACGCACATTCGCTTGCCACACGTTCCAACGCTGCATACGGTCTGGGCAGTATTTTAAAAATCCTTCCACAATTTGTGGTTGTAAAGTTATTTTCCAGGGGCCTTCTGTTAATGAGGTTGAATCCTTAGATATAGCTTCCAATAGCGTCACGGGGAAATCACGAACGAGGTTGTAGTCCTTAATGGTATGTCCAAACGTATGTACAGCCATGTTAACTTTATTTTTAAAGCTGGCACGTTCTTTGCCTAATTGTACAAGAATATCTCTGAGGGTCTCCCTTTTATCCTCTGTGTGAGTGAGTCCATTTAATTTTCCTTCCAATAAAAAACGTTGTAACAATCGAGCCTCAACACCTTGCACATTGCCTTCTTGTTGGGAAAGTGCATCATATAATACTTTACTATTGTATTTGGAAGCGCGTGCAATACGTGCACGTTCATGGATATTCATGTAGGACTTGGTAGGTATCAGAGTACTATTACCTAGATAAAGTGCTTTAGCTATGCCCCACGTGGTGTCCAGAGGTCCAGCCACTTTATCCAATTCTTCGAAGATGCCTCTTAGATTGCTGACATTTACTTTATTTTCCTGAATATCATTTTCAAAGTTTTTCACAGTTTTCTCCACCAAACCTGCCTGTTGTCCTATAGCTCCCAAGCAATTTTCAATAGTTAAATCATTAAATGCTGGCAATCCATCTGGTTTCAATACACCTTCAGCAGCATGTGTATCTTCTCCGATCTCAGGAACTCTATTTTAAATTAAATAACACGTTAAAGTAATATTTAAATCACTAATTAGGTGAATAATTTGCTCACAAGACAATATAACCGGCATTTCGATTACTGATGTATTGACTTTGTTTCACACTATTTATTAGTCCACTTCGACGGAACACCGTGTACATATTGGAAAAAAAAAACTCCCTAAAGTGGTTAATTGTGAAATACTTTCAATGAAATTCAAGAAATTGTAAATTGCAATTTATAAAAAATGCGTTTACACAATCAGCATTGAATAAAAGTGAAGTGTCAAACGAATGCAAAACAGCTGACTAGAACATGTCAAATAAAAATATTCTTTGGCTTCAAAATAGTGGTAATGAAATTTTAATAAAATTAATTTTAAAAATTAACAAATGTTATGATGTATTTTATTTCAATGCACAAATGTGTTTGTAAGCTAGTATGTGTACATTACCAAAAAAGTGACGAAATAGTTAATGCTTCAACACTGAAAATTAGAAAACCTTTGAAAGCCACTGGAGAAATTGATTAACAAATTTACTTTGGGAACCCCTGATTTGTGTCCAGCTGTTTGACGATGTATGTTTACCGGCTATTATGGCGTAACGACATTTTTTTGATAACAGATAGGGGCGAAGAAATTAAAGAGACATAGAATCTACAAAAATGACCAGAACCAGTGGCGTCGCACAAAGAATGATAAACTTACGGTTTCCTAGAGAACATCGTTTTTACTCCACTGTGACTAATCAACCATCCCGTAGGCGAGTTGTGATAACCGGCACTGGCACAGTTAGCCCTCTAGCGCATAATGTGTCGGAAGCTTGGTCACGGATATTATCTGGTGAATCTGCCATCTCAAAGCTAAGTGACCAATTCAAAGGTTTACCATGTCAAGTGGCAGCTCAAGTTCTACGAGACCAGTTGCCGACCGAAAAGTATTTTGGAAAAAGCGATTTAAAAATAATGAGCACGGCAACACAATTTGCAATAATTGCATCTGAAGAGGCGCTATCTAGTGCCAAACTACAACCTAAAGAATTAACAGCAGAACAACGTGAACGCTTTGGTGTCTGCGTTGGCATGGGTATGTTTGATCTGACAGAAGTATATGGAGCTTGGCAACAGCTGCAACGTGGTTATAATCGTGTGAGTCCATTTTTTGTGCCTCGTCTTCTTCCCAATATGGCATGTGGGCATATAAGTATGCGATATGGTTTGCGTGGTCCAAATCACTCAGTTTCGACGGCATGCGCAACAGGAGCGCATGCAATTGGTGATGCATTACGCTTCATACGCAACGGAGATGCTGATATAATATTGGCAGGAAGTGGTGAAGCTTGCATAGATCCGCTTGCTATAGCTGGATTTTGCCGCTTACGTGCTCTTAGTACAACACATAATGATACACCTTCGACGTCATCGCGTCCATTTGATAAAAAACGTGATGGTTTTGTAATGGGTGAAGGTGCAGCTATGCTCGTACTCGAAGAATTAGAATATGCCCGTAAGCGTGGTGCACCAATATTGGCTGAACTACTAGGTTATGGCTTGTCGGGCGATGCTTACCATATTACATCACCTAGTGAAGATGGCACTGGTGCTACATTAGCAATGCAACGTGCTATAACGGATGCAAGAATCCTGCCTAGGGATATAACATATGTCAATGCACACGCCACATCCACACCAACAGGTGACCGCATTGAAGCACATGCTATAGAAAGAGTTTTCGGTGAACATGTATCGCAAGTGCGTGTGTCATCAACAAAAGGTGCACATGGTCATTTGCTTGGCGCATCAGGAAATTTAGAGACTGTCTTTGTTGTGCAGGCATGTGTGGACAACAAACTACCGCCTTCTATTAATATTGAGAACTTGGATGAAGACATCAAAGTGTCAATAGTGAAAAATAAATCAGAGCAATGGTGCAATAGCGCTGAGGTGTCGCGCATAGCCCTTAAGAATTCATTTGGTTTCGGTGGAACAAATGCGTCTCTTTGTATTGGAGAATATCGTGAATAAATCGAATAATGCATTTAAAATTTTACTCACTTCTGTATAATAAAAGCTACTTCTACAGAAAATATTTATAGGCATAAAATTTTAAAAAATAATAACTTAATTATTATTAATATTTGAAATAAGAATTAACTCTTGTAAAAAATTGTTTGAATCATGTTAATAAAGCTACAATACTTTTTTAGGAAAACTTTCACTTACAATTTATTTGGAAAACTTCAGTAAAAATATGTACATGTGTGTTTGTTTGCGGTGAAGTAAAATAATTAAAGATGTGTATATATTTTATATATATATGTATATATTATTTATTTTACGTCGCAATTCTCCTCCTTTTGTTTAAATTATATAAATTATTACTTTGAAACTTGTTTCTCGATACTTCAATTGTTTATGTTTACTCATTTTATCTTAGCTTAATTAGTTATAGTAATCGATTCATGTGTGCCAATTGGAAAGAACACTTTTATATGCATAATAGGCTTTCTTCTCCATGTTTATGGCTGTGCATTAGATAGATTGTGTTTTTCAGCGAAAGGAATAAAAGCCTACCAAAAACATACATACATATATATATTGTATCAAAATGTAATTATCTTGTTGTATTTTTCAATCAACAGCGAGTGTTGTAGTTCTAAGTGGGATGTTTTCTGCAGTCTATTGTAACAATAGTGTGTAATTACAGGTGCATGTTTGTATACTTATGTACATACATAATTATGGGTCGGCAATGTACAAAACAACTCGCACATCAAATGTATAACAAATGCCAAAAATTATAAATTTACGTTCTTTTTTAATGATCTCGAATACAGTGGCACCTAAACTCTAGCAAAATTAACTATATTAAATAAATTTTTCTGCGTAACTAAATATATGTATGTATGTAGGTGTGGATATTATTTATGTTTATTGCCATTATATATAACTTAAACTCAAAACTGCATAACTTTCATATCTTGACCAATATTATTATATCTTAATATGAATTCCCACTACAACAATATCACTTTATTGTGTTGGCTTATCTTTTACACAGAATTTTTTCAAGATCCGTTAGCTAAAAGTTATAGTTCTAATGAGCTATTGCACTACCCGTTATTGAAGTCGAAATTGTTCTAAAAAATATTCGCAAAAACCCAAATAAGGAATAAATAGTAATCAATATCATGTCAAAAAATCACGTTATTGGCTTAGAAGTTAAAAAAATAATATTGTAATATTATTTGCTACTAAAAGAGAAATAACTTCTTGATCTTATTTTATTGTACAAAACCAATCAGCAAAACCCCATATTTCTTATTTATCTCAAATGTACAAACTTTTCTTGAAATCGTGTAGCTTTGCACTCAAATAATTGAATGACAGCAAGAAGTAATAATTGGAGATGATTGACCTTTAAATAGATGTTCCTTTGGATAATCGCATTTTCATAATTGTTTTTAATACGCTAAAACAAAGTGTTCAATAATAACGCTTTTGTTGATAAAACATTCCACAAGTAATGTTAAGCAATAGCATTATTCCTAGACTGATTTAAACCGTTATCAATTTCGGTTATGAAAACCCGACTGTTGCTTTTGATGTATGAAGTTTTCTTTTCGTTTTTTGACATAAGATGGATAAATAAGTGCAACGAAATTTTTTATGAACGAAGTCCCTGATATAGGACGAAATATAAAAATATTCGTATATACCGTTATTTTTGGTTGTTATATATACATTAGAGCTCTTGATATTCGACTAATCGACTAACCGGATAGGACATTATTCGAATAATAATACTAGATTTTCGACTATTTGAATAGAAGCGTTCAACTGCTACAAATGTTTTCACGCACACAAAGGCATTTTCACAAATTTAAAACTAGCAAAAATTAAAGGCTGCTTGGATTTCAAAAAATTTTTGTTTATTTAAATACTGGCAGAAGAGCAACTATTCGAATAGTCGTAACATTGCGAATAATCGACTACTATTCATACGAACGGTTACAAGCCGAATACTCGGCCTTCAGGTTACTCGAATAATTTTAAGAGCCCTAATATATGTACATACATACATGTCCATATGTACATATTTGAAGAGACGATTTTCCAACACAATCTCGTATATATGGCTATTGCTACCTTCACTGCCCTATGATTACAATTTATTGGGGGGTTTCTCTGCAATTTTCCAATAAATCAATTAAAGTTTTTACACGCTTAATGACATAATATATATATATTATTACTTTTATTATTATTATAATAATTAAACCGTTAATTAATTCATTAAAAAATGCTTACACTTAGAAATATATATTACTTTAAGTTTCGAACTACACTAAACATTTTTCGGCGTTTCTTCACATCATTCCCTAGCGCAACATTTGCGCTAACTGTTCTTGTTAATTTTATTGTAAAGTAAATTTTTATAGTAAAATATATATGTTATATATATTTACATATATTATGCATATATATGCAAACTACGAATTACAAATACGACTACATAAATATGTATATATGTATTTTATTTTTAGATTTTTAGTTTTTTCATATTCATATTATTTTTTTTTATTTTTGTTGTATAAAATTCTAAATGAAATTTGCAATGCCGCTCCTTGAAATGCTCTTTTCTACTTAAGCTTTTTGCTAATATGAAGTTCATGTTAAAGCCTAAGCAAACAAAAACGCCTCAACCTTGAGATATGATGGAAGAAAAAAATATTTTATTTTTCCGAAACAGTGGTTCACTCTGCTTCGTATTTTAGTTTCATGTGTTTAGTTTGAGTTTTTTATGCGATTTCATTTTATAATTCTCAACACTTTTAGTTTAATTTAGATTTTTTTTTTGTTTTCAAAAAGTTTAATTAACAATTTTGAGGCTTAAGGCATTTAACCGCCTCTGGTTTAGCAGTATATTGAATTGGTTAAATCGCCTTAAAGTACGTATTTTCGGTCAATCGCATTAAATAGTTAGGTTGTGTGATGGAGTGGCATAATATGTTAATTTAAGTTGTTTTTGTCGTGATTTGGCTCCGTGTATTACTGTGTTATATCCATGTAAACTAACTTCATTCAGTTCAGCGCTTTTTACAACACAAAAATCACATAAAAGCAAAAAGTCAAAACTTAATTAGAATGTCAAGTAACGCATGGCCAAAAAAAAAATAGAATTTAAAATAAGAATGTGTTTAAACATGTTTGTCTGCTACGCATGAAAATGTATACAACAATTAAAGCTTGAAAACTGTCTGTAACAAGATATTGCGATCAGTTAAGCTAATGCAGCACGATGTGTAATACGAAGACTACCGACACATAAGCAAATTGTTGAGAATATTTAATTGACATACATTTTATGCGAATTATCGAAAATATGGTGGTTTTTGACATATTTATGTATATGAGATAAAATTAAAATTTTTGTTTTTGTTTATTTTTTTATAATTGCCGAATGGTACATACATATAATCTATGACATAAATTTTAGCTGTGGTAAACAATTCACCATTTCCGATTATTTCTATTAAAAATTTTTTAAATAAAAAATTTAAATTTTTCCGTGACACTTGTAGTTTCACAGTTCGCAGTTATACAGTAAGCTCTATAGCATAACATGAAATGAACATTGAACACTTATTAAACTAAGTAGAATGAGTGAAACAAAACTTGTGAAGGAATTTTTACTTCATGCAAAATAAAATACTTAAACTAAAAGCAGATGTAAATCAAAGGCATACGTTTGAGAATACAGACTATTTTAAGCAGCAACATATGAGAAGGCAAATGACAACATAGGCAATTAGAATATTGATACAAATTGGAATATGGAAATTTTGTTTTCCTAAATAATTTTATAACTACAGCTGTGGTGTAGTTAAGGTTTTAATTTTATACTGAGATTTAGCCACATTCTGTATACACGTATGTAACGTATCAACACACATATTCAATACATGCATGCCATGCTAAAATATATATGTTCTGATGATTTAGCTTATGTGATAATTTTCTAAATATATATTTTTTTGTTTTGCATTTTCATTTTATAGTTTTAATTACACACTATTAATGTTATAAATATGTATGTAACTGTATCGTTGTCCATAACTTTCTTGTCGACGTTGTCAACTACTTCTCACCAATCAGACTATTTTCGCCTTATCATTAGTCGAACAATTCGATTGCTTTTTCCTTATATACACACGCTATCACCAATACAACCTACGCAAGCGTATATTGTTGCATAAGCTACACGTTGATCGTTTTGCTCTACCTTTTCTCACGCGCACATAGATCTATATAGATATAGCATAGAGGGGTCGTCCATGTATGATTAGAAGCTTAAATCACACAAATATTTAATTAAGCAACGCATCCATCGTGTACGGAAAAGGAGGTGGGGTACGTTGTGGTGGTGTTGTTTTGCTTTGTGGTTGTAGTTGTACCTGTTGCTTTTGTATTTGCTGCTGTTGCTGCTGCTGCTGCTGCAGAAATATCTCATTGCGGCTTAATGACGTTGTTGTTGCTGTTGTAGCTGTTTCAGTAGCTGTTACTGCGGTTATTGTTACTACGTCAGTTGTTGTTGTGCTTGTTTTTATTGCTGTCACTGACGACGGTCAGTCGAGTATTACAACTTGCGGTTCGATTTGTCTGCTCACCGTCACAGCTGGTGTCGCTACAACATGTGCCATCTGTGCAATTTGGTGTGCTTTGATTGGTAGTTCTCGCCAAGGTTTGCGTGCAACTCGTCGAAGATCGGCAGGTGAAAGTGTTTTGCGCCATTTTCTATGATTTTCGAATTACATTACAACCAATTACCAACAAATCCTCAATCAAATCATGCTATACTTACTTGCTGCTTTCCGTGGCTCTGAAATAATAATCATCTGGTGCGTCTACCCAACTTATAACCTGCTTACGCCCATTACCGGTGCGTCCCATTTGTGCTAGTTTCGGTTTGCCGTTGAGCTGTAAAAGAACAACAACAATAAAAACTTTAAAACCAACTAAGAAATAAAGATGTATATTATTTACATGATGTCTCGTTAAGGTATGACCCGCCGCAGCCATCATTGCGGCAAATTGCTCATTGCTTGGACGATGCGAAGGCATGGGATCTTTATTCGGGCGCTTGGTGGGGGGATATACTGGATAAAGCATGCCTATAATAATGAAATTTAAAAATAG